TAAATATTCCAATATTTAGACGGTCCATTGAATTGTGAATTATTTGTAGTACGTTTACGTTGAGAGTAATTTAAAAACAGTTTCAAAAATGTATTGATGTAACATGAAATATTTCTGAAGTCTTTTTAAAATGTTCCCGAAATATATTTTTTATATGACTAATTTTATACAAAAAATTTGTGTGAAATTCTTTACAAAAATACATATTATGTAAACAAATACATATTTTGTATATTCCTGTAATTAATTTCAATGTGTATTTTACAAAGTCGTGTTTGTAAAACGTAGATTTTTGAATGTATATCTTGTTTATCAAAAGTATGTCAATGTTATGTTTCAGAAACATTTTTATATTTCATTTTTGTTATTAACTGGAAAATGGTACAATGAAATATTTCAGGAACATTTCTGAAACACTTTAATGTTATTCCAATGTAATATGTTTCAAAAATGTTTTCGATACATTACATCGTTATGTTTCAAAAATTCGTTTCTTTATATTTTTGAAATGTAATTGATATATGAAATGTTTCCGAAACTTTCGAATACTTCTGAAACGTTTTAGAAACATATTTTGCTGTGTGGGTAATCATTGAGCGCTCAGTGATTATTTGTGTTTGCTGAACGTGCCCAATCATTACATTGAAATATTAAAATAAAATATATATAACATTGAAATATTTCAGAAATGTTTCTGTAATATTGTCTCACTACTTTAATTATTACATAATCGATATAAATCTTGAATTGTTTATTATCAGATATGAGAAAGGTTTCAGAAAGAGTTTCAGAAATATTTCAAACGCAGTTCCATAGACATTTCAGAAATTGTGCTACACATGTTTCAGGAATGGTTCTAGAAACATAACAGAGATAGTTCCAGAAACATTTCAGAAATATTTTCATGAACGTTTAAGACTTGCTGAACGTGCCCAATCATTACATTGAAATATTAAAATGAAATATATATAACATTGAAATATTTCAGAAATGTTTCTGTAATATTGTCTCACTACTTTAATTATTACACAATAATTATTACATAATCGATATAAATCTTGAATTGTTTATTATCAGATATGAGAAAGGTTTCAGAAAGAGTTTCAGAACGTTTAAGAAATACTGACAGAAACATTTCAGAGATAGTTGCAGAAACATTTTAGAAACAGTTTCGTGAACATTTAAGAAATACTTACAGAAACATTTCAGAAATTGTTTCATAAACATTTTAGATATAGTTTCCAGATATAGTTTAGGGTAAATA